GGCACTCAGCACAGAAGTGCCGAGCACGGATGGTTGTTCCTTGTGTCCGACCTGGACATACTCGACGCTTTCCACCCCGGCACTTGAGGCGAGACGGGCTAGGGCGTCGGCTTGCACGTTCTCTGCCCGGGGGATATGTTCTATTTAAGTCCAGATTTTGGTCAGCTTCTTCTTCACCAGCCCCAGGTACGTGACCAGTCTTGGTTCCTTCACTTCGAACTCTCCGGATATCTGCTTGACCATCAGCATGGAGTCTGAGTATATGATGAGGTCGGTTAGGCTCATGGCTTCCGCCAAGGCGAGCCCGGATAGCAATGACTCGTATTCAGCTTCATTATTGGTCGCCGGGAAGAGATATTGTATCGAATGACAAAAGAGCTTCTTGTGGGGATCCACGAGGACGACCCCTCCGCCTACTCTTCCGGCAGTGGAGGACCCATCCACGTACATCACCCACGGCTGCTCATTCGTTTCCTTAAGTCACGGCGTGAATTCAGCTATGAAGTCCAATAGTACCTGCCCCTTTATTGCTGTTCGGGGTCGGTAGTGAATGTCATATTGTCCTAGCTCCACCGCCCATTTTACCATCCGGCCTGACGTGTCAGGTCGATGAAGAATGTGTCTCAGCGGGTAGGCGGTGAGCACGGTTATTGAATACTCGAGGAAATACGGTCTTAATTTTCGTGTGATAGTCACTAAGGCGAACGCGAGTTTCTCCATTGGCGGGTATCGCAGCTCGGCATCATGGAGTGCCTTACTGACGTAGTAGACTGGATATTGGGAAGATTCGTCCTCTCGGATGAGGGCGGCGCTGACTGCCACGTCGGAGACTCCCAAATAAAGGAAGAGCATTTCTCTAGGTCTGGGTTTCTACATGGTTGGGGCCCGGCACAAGGTTTCTTTGATAGCTTCCAATGCTTGCTGGCACTTCGAAGTCCACTCGAACCTATGATTCTTTTTAATTGCGTCAAAGAACGGCTTACACCGGTCTGTCGACCTTGAGATGAATCGACTGAGGGCGGCAAGCTTGCCGGTCAGGCTTTGCACCCCTTTGATTGAGGTCGGCGGTCGGAGTTTTTGGACGGCCTTGATCTTTTCGGGATTGGCGTCGATGCCGCGCTGGCGAACGATGTAACCCAAGAATTTTCTCGATCCGACACCAAAGGTACATTTTTTGGGATTTAACTTCATGTTGTAATCACGTAAAATGGAAAACATTTTATTAAGGTCATTAACATGGTCGGATGCATACACGGATTTGACCAACATATCATCTACGTACACTTCCATACTAACACCTATCAAACTAGCAAACATTTTATTCACTAGGCGCTGGTATGTGGCCCCGGCGTTCTTCAGCCTGAACGGCATCATGGTGTAGCAATAAAGTCCGCGTGCCGAGTAAAAAGAAGTGTGCTCGGCATCGTCCGGGTGCATCGGGATCTGGTTGTAGCCGGAGTATGCATCCATGAAGCTCATCAATTCGTGCCACGAGGTGGCGTCCACCATATAGTCAATGTGGGGCAAGGGGTAGTTGTCTTTGGGGCATGCCTTGTTGAGGTCGGAGAAGTCGATGCAAAGGCGCCACGCCCCGCTGGCCTTCTTCACCAGTACCGGGTTGGCAACCCAGGTTGGGTACCGGACCTCTCGAATATAGTCATTGTCTTTGAGTTTGATCACTTCTTCTTCGAGAGCTTGTTGCCGGTCTGGGCCCAGCTTCCTCCTCTTTTGAATGACCGGCCTGACTGTGGGGTCGACCTGCAACCTATGATAGGCGACCTTCAGGTCAATGCAGACCATGTCCTCGTGGGTCCACGCAAATACGTCCGCGTTTTCTCGAAGGAAACTGGTTAGCTCGGCCTTTAACGGCGCTGGCAGTTTGCTGCCGATCCGGAGTTGCTTTTGACAGGTCTCCTCGTCGATGAAGATGATTTCGACCTCGTCCATGGGCTCGGCCCTTTTGATACCCCTTTTCTCTTCGTATTGGGTTCGAGGATCGAGCTTGTCCTCCTCCAAGATCGGCTCTTTTCTGGCCCTTCGACCTCTGTCCTGGTCCAGGTCGGATCCGGACCCCTTCTGCTCGGCACTCGTCCCAACTTGGGGGAGCGGACCTATCTGGATTTCCAGCATGCGGTTGTCTCCCGGGCCGGGGTGAACCACCTCGGTATCGAGGCCTATACGATCCCCCTCGACGTACGCTTCTCCTTCTATCTCGGCGTTTTCAGCGATCTGGCCGGTACTTGATGTTATCGGGTGGGGCGAAGCTATCTGGTTTCCCAGCATGCGGTTGCCTTCTTCCCCTCCGTGGGACACGGTTTCACTCGTCCCGACTTTAGGGGCGGAGTTGGCTGTATTGATTTCCGTCCGCGGGATGGTCAGGACGCATTCCCGTGCTTCTCTCTGATCTCCTCGATGGGTCCCTTCCCCGTCCGAGGTCGGGAACT